TGACTGGAAATTCATAACTCTTGTCCCCGTGGGCCTAGAGCGTTCAAATTTGGTAAGATAGGTGGGGCAGGATGGGAACACCTTTGGTACGTGGCAGGCCCGGACTCGGTTCACAGGGAGCGAGGAGTGCACGATAAAAATTTTAGGTCGCAGAATCATAAATCCTGTCTCCGTGGACCTGAAGCGTTCAACTGGCAGGAGTAAGGGGGGCAGGATGGAAACACCTTTGTAAGTGGCAGGACTGGAATCCGTGCATAGGGGTGGGGTTTGCGCCGAAATAGTCAATTTGGCCCTAGGGCATTCAAACTTGGCAGGAGTACAGGCGGCAAGATGGGAACATTTATCGTAGGTGGGAGGATCGGACCCAGCTCATAGAAGGAGAAATTTGCGCCAAAATTTTCAGTTTGGCTTGAGGGCGCTTAAACTTAGTAGGAGGCAGGCGGCAGTATGGGAACACCTTGGTGAGTAGTAGTGCCGGACTCCTCCCCCGAAGGACGGGGTTTCCGCGAAATCAATGAGTGAAAATCCATGACTCCTGATCCCGTTGACTTGGAGAGCAAAATCAATAGGAGGAGGCAGGATGAGAACACTGACAGTAGAAGAGGCCTTGGAGAAGAAGATCCACTCACCAGTTACCTCCTAACGCCTTTGTTATTTACGATCTAGCTTTGACTTTTTAATATGTTTCATTCAACAAGAAGGGTAAGTTGTGTGATTATAAGGAGATGAATTTAGTTCACTTCTTCCTATAAGATTACGACCGCTACCCAGCAGAGTTTACGATTAAATGAAAGATCACGGTTTTTCTTTGCTTTGACGCCACTCTGAGCAAAACTTATCCGACCACTAACAATGTTGGATTCACATTAAATGATGTATCCGTAGAGAAAAAGAGGTACATCTTTGAAGGAGGAATTCGAGTCTATACTCTCCCTCAGCAAAACAGCGAAATAACCTGGAAAAAAATAGGAAGAATTTTACTATTTCGATGTTTTTTGGATGAAGTCCCTTCACCCCAAGAAGGAGGAGAGCCCGGCCTCAGCTGTGACCACTTATGGTGGGTGGCGGGACCGGACTCTGTGCACAGGGGGCGGGGCGTGGCGATAGGAGTTTTGGCCGTAAGTTCAAAACTGATGATGAACATTGATAGTAGCTAACATAGTAGCCTCAGCCGCGATGAAGTCTCTGAATACTTTTTTTCTCAGAATTATCGCCTTTGTTATATTATACGATGTTCTATTCGGACAAAGATGGGTTACAGAAAAAATCGCTGCCAACTCGGAGCTAATACTGAGGATGTAGCTTTCAAAGAAAAAGGAGAATCCGAAGTGTNCGTCCGGCGTAGCCGGGCGAGCCCATAAGAAGGAGGGAAGCCCGGCGTTAGCCGGGCGGCCCGACTGGTAATAATAATAATGATAGAGATTCCAATCAATGTAATCAATATAAGTTTAGTGAGACTGCCAGAGAAGTCAACAGCCAACCAATTAAGGGAGGTCACCTCACAAGTGAGTGAGTGAATATGCGAGGAAGGTGCGAAGTAAGTAGATCCGGATCTGAATACTGCTTCCCTTTTCCCCGATCCGCCACCTTATGTCACGTTACGTAGCCTCGTCACTGATCGGCTAGAGCTGTGGTGTGAGAGAGAAAGGCCAGTGTCAGAATTGTATGAGCAATGTGATAATGCACATAAAAACAGACACAATCTTTTTCTTTTTAGTCGTAGAGGTTGTCTAGTTGTAGGTTGGTCTCAAAGGACCTCTAGAAACCCCAATCGGCAAAGGACATCGATCTCTCAATCTAGCAGTTCGCAAGTGAGTCTGATTTTATGTACTGAAAGCAATGTGGTGAACTATCTTGAAATGCTCTATTTTGTTTTGAAGCTGGTGGGATTTGGTGAAGGGTGTTGAAAAAAGTTTCAGAGAGTTCAATCTTTACGCGAATGTTCGTCCATGTCGATCGCTTGAAGGCCATAAAACACTTTACGATAATGTCGACGTAGTAACCATTCGAGAAAACACTGAAGGTGAATATTCTGGCATTGAACACGAGGTTAGTTTATTTATTTATTTATTTATTCATTTAATACATCATAGAGTGTGCCATACAACACAAAAGCAAAAACTGGGAGGCGATGGTCAAAAACAACAAGAAAAAAAAGAAAAAAATCATCAACCTGAGAAAAATTGAGGATAAAGCCGGAGTTGGAACATGATACAGGCCTTACTAGAGGAAAGGGGTAATTGCGAGAGAGAGAGAGAGAAGGAAGCAGGAAACTCGCATAAAGAAGCATTCGTGGAATGATGGTTGAACCTTTCTCATATGTACAGAAAAGCTATTTTCCCCTGTGGAAAAAAAGGCTTCTTCATGCTATACTGGCCCAAGGCCAATATGCTTAGAGAAGCAACAGTATTAGAGCTTGCTGAACACCAAAGCTCGGTACGAACAAATTCGATTCGAAACCACAATCGAGTGGACGAAGGGAGACCTTAGGCAGAAGGGTTGATCGTCTCACATTATCCTCAAACAGTCAGAGAAAATAGAAATCAATGCCTCAACATCATCAAAAGCATACTCCACCGAGCCGGCTTTTTGCCTCGAATCAAGAGAAAGGAAAACAGTTTATTTCTGTTTTTCATCCAAAATTTTATGAATGTTTAGTACAGTAATGGCTTATGTACGCAATTATCAAGTGGTACTTTTTATTGGTTTCTGCCATCCAGATAGACAGATACCAGTTACCTTCATCCTATCCTCTTTATGTACATCTCTTTGCTAATTATCCTCCCTTTCTTACGTTTTTTTTCTTTTACAGATAGTTCCGGGTGTCGTTCAGTCGATAAAATTGATCACAGAGGATGCATCTCGACGTGTCGCCAAATACGCATTTGAGTACGCTAGGCAGAATTCCCGCAAATGTGTTACTGCAGTCCATAAAGGTGACTTTCGTCACCGTTACCTTTCTCCCTACTGATATCGCTTCCGCTTTCTATGTTCAGCTAATATCATGCGTATGTCGGATGGATTATTTCTGCACATTTGCCGCGAACAGGCATCACAGTATCCTGATATAAAGTTCAAGGTAGGGAAGGCATTTTGCAGACAAAAGCAGTGACAACTGTACGCATAAGATGCATGCTGTTGCTGTTCTTTTCTACAATACAAACCTCATAATTCAATTCATTCTTCGTTCTTAATAGCACTCAGAATTTTTTTGTAGGAATCGTACCTGGACACGGTTTGCTTGAATATGGTTCAAGATCCGAGCCAATACGATGTTCTTGTTATGCCCAATCTTTATGGTGACATACTGTCTGACTTGTGTGCAGGCTTAGTTGGAGGCCTTGGGGTTACACCATCCGGAAATATCGGCGAGGATGCGGCTGTTTTTGAGTGAGCTTTTCGCTTTCGCTTACTGTTCTGTATCTGTAGTATAAATATTTCTAGTTCTGTAAGTAATATCGCATTGATTTTAATCCAGCATTAAGTTTTGCTGTGAGCGACTTGATGACTTGTCGATTCGCTTTGCACTTTTTCCATTTTTTGAGAATGATTATGTGTGCCGATAATAGAAATGCATTTTTTTCTGGCTCATATATTCAGTTAATTTCAGATCCGTTCACGGTACTGCTCCAGATATTGCTGGACAAGATAAAGCTAATCCAACAGCCTTGTTGTTATCAGCAGTTATGATGCTTCGATACATGAACATGAATTCGTTTGCGCAAAAAATCGAACGTGCTGTATTCGATTCAATTGCCGAAGGAAAGGCAAAAACAGGGGATTTAGGAGGTGACGTTTATTTCCAATCTTCTCGCAAACACAGATACGTAGAGAAGGGGTTACAGTTGTGTGTATACAATTGAATGGTACTTTTCATCATTGTACGATAGCTGATGATGGCAACCTCGTTTTATAGGCTTCATGCTCTGCCATTACTCACGTATCTGTGGTTAGAAGGCGTGGCTAGCACGGTTTTGCCTCATNAAGAACTTTGAAGATTTTGCTTTATGATGCAAAATTCTCAGTATTTTTTCCTGAAGTTTCGTAGGCTTGCGAGTCACTGACAAAAATATTCTTGAGCTTTTCCGACTCCTTTCGGTTGTTCATATCGTCGAGAAGTAGTTGCCAATCACAGGATCGCTGATGACGGATCAGAAGATAGGGCCGAGGGATGTCTAAGTGCAACTTAAGATGTTGAAAACTTGAAAATGTGAAACTTTGCTATGCGCTTAGATTCTTCATGTAAAACGAGTTAAGAAGAGATTTCGACATCACTGTTTTTGAACACCATTCGTTCTACGAGTTTCACGGCTCATTGGTACTCGAACAGTACAGAATGAAGTTTGAAAATATCGACAGCATGAAACTTGGGGCACACTATGGTTCGAACTTGCGCAGTCCTAGCCCAACATTAAATCTGAAACACTTCTTCTTGAGTTTCTACTGTTTATACTCGCTGTTCGTTAATTCAGTGGTGTATGGTTGGTAATAGAGCACTCAAATCAACTGATCATTTTGCTTGGATCCTACTTCATGTAAGGACTGTCTTTTTCAGGCAGTGGTACATGTTCTTCATTTACGGCGGATGTTTGTGCACGCATTCGAAACATGGACTAGTTTACTATGATGGGTAGTATAAACAAACCTTTGTTTATCTTCTCCATAGCTCTTAGATTAGTTGAACTTTTAATAAGTCTTCTTATAACTTGATCACATTAACAGTTCTGGTAGGATTTTGGTTTTTGAAAGCTCATAATCGGAACTCGCATGATAACCTAGTGGCTTCTCTGTTAGTCAGAAGTCTAATTACTACTCTGATAACAAAAAAGCGAGTTTTTGAGTTCTTTAGGAACAAATTTGACCAGTTTGCAACATTTCAGCTGTGTGACTGTTATAATAAAGTCATTATGTTAATAATAGTTCATAGTATATTATTTTAAAGTAGTTTATGAGTCCTTTATCGCGAGTAGAGGTGGCATTTTTCGTTATGAGACGATGTACTTTATTGAGGGCGTGCTGAACTGGACAATTGACTCTTCTGGTTTTGGGCTACTGTGCAATCTTCTAACGACAGTAACGGATATTTCCTTCTAGTTGTACTTACCACTGCTCCTCTAAACCACATTACATGACATAGTGCAAAGAATGGTCTTCCTCGAGTTGAAAATAGTGCGGCCTGCAGGAATCATCTATATCGCAAGTTAGGGTCAAGAGGAAAAAATTCTAGGGGCATCCTACTTACTATAAAGCGCTTCCTCTACCGTTCTGGACGGGCACTACATGCGTCTGAGAACGCGCGGGGCAACTTGCGCGGCGATGTTCGTGACGATTTGTACGACTATGGCGCCAATTTTCGGGGCACAAACTCGAAGTAGGGTATTTTAGTAGGGTCAGATGACCCCTCTAATAAACTCCAAATTTGGGACCCAATGGTAGGAGCTAAAGTCGTTCAAGTCGTTCGGAACCTCGCCGCGTGCATCCTCGGACGCACGTAGTGTCACGTACCCGTCCTTCTGTCGTCTGTCGTTATGCTTTATACTATTCGGGACATGGCTGTCACGAAGTTCCTCAGCTCCTTTAGATCTCCCTGGAGAGACCAGGTCAAGCGTGGGATGGGTAGGCCATGCCCCGAGAAGTATAAAGCACACATTAGCTTGGCGGAGCCCCGCCCACGGTGGGCATGGCGTACATCGAAGAGAGGGTGCTATCTATTTACACACTGGTAGCAGTCTGCATTGCGTACTAATAGCAGTTACCGTAACTCTACGCTTACTTTTATTCAGTTTTGAGGACTGATTGTTATGCTGATTTCATGTGTTTGAGGACTTGTAGGTTGATCACTCCTCTTTCATTTAATTTGACCTAACTGTTTTGAAAGAAGCCTGGGATACCTACATCTACAAGCATGTAGCCCTGGTTGGAAGTTGTCAGCGCTGTTTTCTCTGCAGCCATGAAGCTAGCACTTAAGCCGTTATTTAGGGTTGTCATTTTGGTTCATTTCGGTTTGATTGATTTTGGTTCACTTCATTTTGATCACTTCTCAATTGCGCATCTATAAAATGGGTGTATGCACAATGAGTTCTAGTTTAAATCACTGGCCACCTCCGCCAACTGCTTGACTGTTGATCGGTCGTTGGCTGTTGTCCAGTCTGAAAGCCTCAACTGAACTAATATTGCTTGTATGATTTAGAAATTACGTTGCATTTACAGGGTGCGCCATAAATATGGTAACAAAAGAATTGGGAAGAAACTCTGCGTGCCACCGTCGATGAGCAGCTGAAGCGTCTTCGAGCTATCATTAGTACAAGAGACGGTTATAGAGAAACACTAGCCCGGACTTTTTTCATTGATTTATCAGGAACAGCAACAGTGGTGCGTTTTGAAGCGCAGGCTTTCCTCTCCAGTATGGACTATATCCAGCTACCCATCACGCTGTGGTCCGGGAAATTCGTAGGAGGATGGAAGCAGGGACAAAATCGCGAACATTCCCTCAGCACCCATCT